GAAATGTTCAAATGATAGCTAATTGCAAAGAATTGACGATTATGGAGGATGTGGTAAAACTAATAAATAAATCAATATGAATTTTTAGTTATTGTATCCATTTATTTACCACGAACACACCAAAAATCAATGAAAAGGGGAACAGTAACATTCGGGACATTACTTGCAAAAATGGGACATCATATAAAAATAATACTTAATCCGAGAAAAGCAATGATCTCGCAATCTCTTGCGACGGTCACACACCCGATGTAACATATGTATTTACTCGATCTACTAAATTTTTTAATATCTTTGTTAAGCAAAAATTGGCGATTTAACGACAATCTTGGAGACCCAAGTGGCAATAAATAATTATATATTATTTATTAGAGGAATCTAACAGGTCCAATGGAAGTTTAGGTGCACATTGACCAAACATCAACCCTTGTAACTTGCGAAAAATTAATTTTCATAATATGTTCCCATTGAATTTAGTGTCCAGGATTTCTTGGACAACATTTACAATATTTTTCTCGAGCTTTACGAAACCGTGTCAACTTGGCTCAGCAATTTTCGCTAAGGTACGCTTCTCGCTACGGTACTAAAACGTTTGATATCACGGCAAGGTGTCACTGGATTTTTCAATTCCATGTGCCGGTAGAGCTAGAGGCATGCGCTGCCTGCGCGCGATGACCCTCTTACCTCTTTAACGATCTTTCCTGGCCAGCAGAACGACTACCGCGCTGGTCCCTGGCTGCGGCGAGGATTCCGCCGCGATCAGTTGCACCCGCTAGTCATAGAGGTCCACGCGTGACCTTCCTCGTCGTCTTCGTCTTCATCTTCGTCCCGCATCCTCGCGCGGTTGCTCTTCGTGCAGTTGCTCTTCGTGCTACCGTTCGCCTCGTTGTCCTCTTTCCAGTGGTCCTAGCTGCCAGGACGAACTTCCAGTTCCTGGGCGACTTTGATTCAGCCTAGCTACCAGTCAGCCTAGCTTCCAGTTCATCGAGCATTCACGCATCAGCCTAGCCTTAATCTACGAGCTACCTAATTTCCTTCTTTGCTGGAGCCACGAAGTTGCGTAAGTTGTATCCACGCTACTCTTATCCTGAAACGTCCTCTAGGTCCGCGCGCAGCAACTTCCTGATTAACGCGGGAAGAGTGAAGTCGACTTGGCGGCGCACAGTGGTCCGGCGAACCATAATTTGTGGCCAAAATTCAATTTTTCTGATTTCATGTTCCAACGAAATTGTCCTTCCTACGTATTGACGATTAATCCAGGATACTAACAAGATTCGTTAATTTATTTGTGATTTAATTATGGTAATTCGTGATTCGATAACAACGGTAATGCAAAAATATGAAATTAAGATTGAAATTAATTCGTTTAGTTACTCGTTGTGAAACATTAATAAGCAAGTTCTTGTTATACTCTTATGTACGTAAGCACTTGTATTTCAACTGTTCACGCCTGTCTAGAGCATTTTTCAGTCGATGTAGGAAGATTGTTAGGTTTTTAATCGTTCGAACTTTAACAAAGCTTATAGGAGAAAAAAAAATGTTTAATGCAGGACTTTTTGTGCGTAGAAGCTGCGCGTACAAACGTCTATCGTGGAAGTCTCTCTGGGCTAGTCTCTTTAGGTCCGCGGAGTTCGCATAAAACTGCAGCTCATCTCTCAACGATTCGCACAAGCTGCTGTTCCATCCGCTCGCCGTGTCATCATCTGTACGATAAACGCATAACGACCTTGACGAACTGCAAGAATCGGCCGCAGTTTATCCAACCGCAACAATCAGCGTATCTAGAGTGTTCTCTAGACAACGCGCCTCGCGGTAGACGCTAAACCGGGGAGGCAGATCGGCCGCGTATGACGGTGCGTCGTCAACGGCGAGTACTGCTGATTCATTGAGTGATATAATGATGTTGTTGGAACGCGAATAGGTCGCTCCATCTGATGCGGGACGGGAAAAGCCAGGCTCACAACAGTGAGTCCGTACGTTCGATCCAACGAGGATCCATCGCGTCGGCAAGTTCCTATCCGGCTTGGTGATCTTTGATCAGCCGACGACTCACTTTCGACATCGTTAATTGCCACTGTACTATTATTTCGGATCCCGAAGGACCCTCGGTTCTCCCGCGGTCTCGTCCGGCCACGTCGGGCCATCGGGTCTAGTCGGGCCGACCCGGTGTATTTGCGTCCCCGACTCGTTCCATCCATCAGGTCCGACATAAACGGAGTTAGGCGACCCCTTGCCGCACGCGAAATAGCAGCGAGCAATATTCTCTGGCAGTTCCGGAATTTCTGACCGGACCACCTTGCCGGGCTCTCTGCGTCCACGTCGAGGAACCGGAAGGATCGCCGATCGACGGACCCCGAAGATCAGCCAATCGGTAACATTCCGGCGGGTTTGAATGTTTACGCGGGAAATCGCGGCGACGCGGACGGTCCTTTCAGTTTTTGCCGTTCGGTTTTAGCTTGTTCACGGTCTTTTTGATTTTTGTCGATGCACGGCGGAGCTCCGAGCTGTGCTGTGTTGTTTCTTCGGCCGTTGATTATTGGTTCTCTGTCAGCGATTTCTAACAAGGGGACTGATCGCTGGTTTCATTGAACTTCTCGGTTTGCTGCTCGTTTGGCGCGATTCCTCAAGCTGCGATCGACTGAATCTCTGCGGCTGTGCGCCGAGATTTATTTGACATTGTTTGGTTGAAGTGAAGTACGCGCTACTTTAGTTCAGTGTACTAATCGCCGATTCGGTCGTAGAAAGTTAGGGAATGAACGGTTCGATTATGTTTCGGCGAGAGTGGAACGTGTGAAATTGTTGTGAAATTTTTTTACGTCGCCGCTCGGTCGAAGTTCGAAAGAGTTTTATAGCGATGCATGAATCGCGTGCGTTCGTGACGAAAAATTGCAGCTGGTTGAGGCCGAAAGATCGAAGGATTTTGAGAATGTTGAGACGTGTCGTTTTCGACCTCGTTGAGATTTTTAAAGGCAGAGAAAACGTTTCGCGTGGTTGCTGTTTCGAGGAATTGATGCTGGCTATTTTTATTTTGAATGATGTTCCGCCGTTTCGCGGTGTCTATTTTCATTCTAAAACGTACTATTCTGTTTTCGATAACAATTACAGTGATTTGAAATGTTTTATTTCAGGAAATGTATATGTACGATAGCTTAGGAAACCGATTTTTCTATAAATCTGACACTCTGTTGGAATGTTTGCTGTGTTGTTTATGAAAGTGTTGCAGTCAAATGTTTCGAGTGATCTGTTGATCGTGTCACTATTTCATTTTCATATTTTTGAAACCAACTGGCTTCGCTCTTTGCGTGTTAAAAATAGTATAAATTATTGTAATATTTGACCAAGCGTATTTGTGAAGTGGGAACGTCTTCTAATCGCTAGTAAAACTATGAAATAATTTGAATGACGTTTCTGCTTTATTTATCAGAAAATCTTTTTCTGTGTTTAGGTAAACAAGATGGAGAACGAAGACGATAGCAGTGTTATGGTCGAGTTATACATATATGACTTGTCGAAGGGCATGGCTGCCAAAATGTCCAGAACTGTCATAGGTGAGTAAAATGTTTATTTAAAATAACTTTCCTTTTTCAGTTACCCAGTTTCTGACAATTCAATTGCTTGTTGACGTGATTGTAGACAGTAGCTAAAGATAATTAGGGGAAGAGATCAATCGTGAAAAGATGACAAACCACAATAATTCAGAATTTATTAAAAATATGCTATAAACTAATGATAAAGAGAAAATAAATTGGAATTATAATGTTTAAAAAGTTCGATAAAATCGGTGCGTTGCTGGCGTATCGCTCTCTTTAAACGTTGTTTAAATATATTCAAATGTTCATATTGTTATTAAAAAATATACCGTTGGATGCGAGAGATTCTACGGAATCATTCTACGTAAGAATCGTTCGTATACCTCTTACGGTTATGCTAGACAAAAATGTACAAAGTTCTAAATTTGATTCTTTTAAAATTAAATTCGAACCTCGTTCTTTCAAATGAAATTTGAACATGTTCAAACGTCCGCGTCGTTATTAAAAAATACATCGTTGCACTCGGGAGACTCTGCAGAATAATTCTAGATAAGAGTCGTTCACCTAAGTTTTATAGTTACAACAGAAAAAATTCATAAATTTGGAAATGTCTTCAGAGTCACGTGGAAATAAAAGTTTCCATCAAATAAATTTGAGAATCGTGCGAATTTGAACTTTAAAAATTCGCACGAAGTTACTCGGTCGTGTCGTTGCGAAATAAATATGGCGTAGCAGTGGGAACACGACGAAATTCGCGTTTGTTGAAAATTGTTCGTAATAAATTGTACGCGCGCGATACAAGAATGAATATCTACGGAATTAATTTTAGCTATGACAATGCAAGAAACGACAAGTGTTTTTGCGTTGGTTGCCCGCGTATTTAAATGGCCAAGTCCGTATTCTTCTGCCTGAAATCCGTGGCACGTTATTTAAAGCACCCGTTGCTGCGTCTCCATTTGAGACAAGCGAATGCGCGAGGTAAACAGCAACAACAAGGTATTTTTAAGCAGTGAATAACGGTGCCGATATACACGAACCCCGGCCCATCGAAAAAAATGATCAAAAAGTCCATGGGATTCGTCGCGTTCTCCGAACAATTCGACGCGTCGCCGCGTCGCAGTGGTTTCGGACCGTTTTGGTCGGCCGCCATTGCGACGCTTCTTTATCGCTAGCATGATGGTCTCAGTTAGACGAATCTGAATTATTACGGCGTGTTTTATACATTAAAATTCTTCGTAGCGCATATTTTGTGCGATAATAAGAATTATTATATTATTATTATTATTATTATTATTATATTATAACCTCGTGAGAATTTATAAATAATTAGAATGACATAATAAAAGACATAAATCAATTGTACTAATAACATAATTAAATAGTATATTTAATGATAAAATACAATAATAATAATAATAATAATAATACAAAGTTTTTGAAGTATAGTATGAGAAAATAATTATTGAAAGTAATAATAATATTAGAAACATGCTGCAGATTTTAATCAAACGAATCATCGTATATACTAATATGCCATTCTGTATTTGTTCTGGTTTTATTTAAATGTTAATTAAGTCGTTGCAAATTGATTATTCAAATTGTACCCTACACTCGCTGACGTATACCAGTTTATTCTTCCTTTGTGCCATTAACCTGTCAGTACTTTAATCTGTTGTTCGAATGAAAGCGACTTCTTGCCAACTAAATAATTATACGAGTATAATTACACATTTATAATTATACAGGATGACTCAGAATATTGGGTTGCTTCGTATCCTTCGTTTCAGTGATGACGTAGAGTTGAGATTGGTAATGTGGAACACCTGATCCCAAAAACTTGCCAAAAGTGAAAACTGATTAGGTATTATAGTTTTATGTACTATAATTAGAAACTTAAAAATATTCTCTTATTAATTTAAGTAATTACAATTTAATAAATTATATAATTTGAAGAAATGTTTTATTAAATATATATCTTCTTAATTCCAAGAAATTATCATAAACAACAGGATACAAATAATTGAAGCGAAACTTAATTATGATTAAGAATAGAGTCCATAAAGCAAACAATTGTAACTTGAAGAAATTCTCAAATAGAAAATGGAAAATTAATTGAGATGTTGCCGATTATTCGAACTATAATTATACCTTAAAAACGATGTTATCATAATAACTAATTATAGAAATTATGATAAATAATTATAAAAATTCGTATAAACACGAGCGTGGAAATAAATCGAAACGAGAATCCGTTTAAACAATAACTAACAATAACTCTGACGTCAGCAGACTGCTAAAAATCGAGCTGACTTTCCTGAATCGAGAGAAATCGAAGAGAGCACCTGTTTAGGATATTTGGCAATACTTGCCGAGCTGTACGGCCATTTTGTCTCGGAGCAATTTAAATATAAACACTTCCGAAAAGGGAGTGAATCACTAGAAAAGGGCAGCGTTGCGCAAGCGTTAGTCGTTGATGGCACTAAATATATCACTAGGTCATTGAAGAATAAATCGCTGATTGCTATCTGTATTTGTTGCATTAGCCGATTACGTTTGCGCAAATTAAATATCTCGCGATTACAGCGCAATCTTAAAAATTCCACAAAAACGAACATTCTAAATATAATAGTGATCTTGTTAAAGCAAAGTGAAAGAAAATATTACTAAATATACTCGTAGAATGTTGAAAAATAAACGATTATAGTATACCTGTAAGCCCATAATTCGACTGCATATGTGTTCGTGCAAACTAATATCTATTAATTATATTGCAATTATAGAAA